CCACTTTTGTTATTTGATAAGATAGTCTTAAATCAGTAAATTCATTAAATGGTTAAAAATAAAAACACATAAATCCGACATATGTCAATTTAATGATACAAAATATTTATTATATAGTAAATATTAAACAGAATTTATTGGATTATGAATTTTAGAGATAATTAATCTATAAATTTAGTTTTTGTTTAAAAAATATCTAAGGTTTTTGAATGTTGATTTCCATATATTGATGGATACAGCTAAATGATTAGCTGTCAGTAATGATATAAAATTTAAATCTATAGATTTACTTGATATTGAAAAGAAAAAAAATATTTTCAATATAAACTTTCAAATAATTAGTAATACACTATAAAAACATTTACTTGTACCTTAATTTGAGAATTCTTTGAATGTTTTCGGTTTAAATCGTAATTTAGTTGCTTGATACATACATCATCATTCATTCATCATAAATTTGATCAATGGTAGATGGTAATAATCTAAATTTGATATAATGTTAAGAACTGGTTTAAAAGTTAACCTGTGAAAAACTTACATTCTCATTGCAAAAAGAAAATAAAATGTGTAAATGAAATCAGTCTATGTTGCATCCACTGCCTAAATGATGCTTCTATGAGTCAATTAAACGAAAATGATGCTTTTTGTCCGATCCCACTGATTCTTTGATTTTTAGGGATTTAAGGGCCATAATAACTTTACTTGTTTCAAACTCAACCAATTAATTTTTACATTTAAAATGAATATGCATAGAGTTTATATAAATTTATATAACTCTACAGTCTACACGTTATGTGGTCCATGTGTCATGTATTTTTCATCCGGTCGGTTCAAATTGATCTCATTATGGTCCACTTTTTAAATAATGAATTTCGAGCCTCTATTGACATATCACATCCAAAATAATGATATAAATGATTATAATCTATGGATTACTCAGTTATTTTACAATGAAAGTGTTGAGTGGGAAACCAAATAATGATGCATATACCAAAGTGAGGTTATTGCAAAGCTCACACACAATCTGAGGAAGGTAAGTAGTATAAATTACAAATGGAGATGAAACCAAATCCCATACTAGAAGAGCCAATGCTTCTTTTTTGGTTTTCTTGTGGGAATATCTGGAAGAGCAAGAACTACTCGATTCAGAAGATTAAGATTCAGAAGCAATTGGGGATAAATGATGTTCAAAAGCAGAGTTGAATGCAAGAGATTTGAGTTTTTACCTCCAGTAGCGTATAGCGAATTGTAATGCACTTCGCTCCAGAAGCTAAGCCAAGCCTCTGCAGAACAGCAGAAGGATTCAAGACAGTTAGGGGCGAGTTAAGTTGGGTTAGAGCGAAAAGGCATACAGAGAGGGGATTTTGTACCTCTAAGAGGGTTCTTGTTATGAGGAAGTATCTCAATGTAGGATTGATCCCGAAATGATGTGACTAAGCAGATCTTGGCTTCGAACTACAGTAATGCTGAGTCAGCAGCAAGTCATTCAAGTAAAAAAGAAGCGAAATGTGAGCGAATCAAAGGTAAAAATTTGCATTGATTCCTCAAGATGCAGTTGTTCAATAGAAGACAGAATCTCTTAGGTGTGTTTATAAACTGTCGTAGTCTTATAGTGTAAACTCAAACGATATTATTTGTTTTCGAACTTACACGATCTGCAGCAGCTTGAAGAGTAACGTGATCTCCCCATTCACCCGCTCTAGTTGCATCCAAAATTTGTTAGCAAAAAGAATGAATCAGAGAATAATTTGACACTCGCTGACACTAAAAAAACAAAGATGCCGCACTTTTTCATCTTCCTGGTGTAGTGTCTGTATTTCATCGGCACATATCCTTCGTATAACTTGCGTTGTTGTTTTAACTGAAAAATGCACATGCTAGGTCAAAATAATGGCAATATTGACTATTAAGTGGTTATGTGAACAAGAAGTTTAAGAGAACCCAAGTTTAGAGGTGTTCACAACTAAGAGGAGTTCTCGGACGTTACCTGCTTTACAACATGCTTCCTTACATGTTTATGGTAATCTGGATTGCGGAAAAGCTGGTCTGCTAAAGCTCGGAACTGGTGCACAAGTATAACATATGATACATCAAATCAATACAAATTGTTTTGAAGAATCCACACTAGGTCTATATGGATGTTCCTTTCGACAAACCTGGCAATTGCCATCCCCGTCCATTTGTAACTCAGCTAAACCATATGTGGCCAACCTGAACAAAAAGGAGAGACCATCAAAGATGATCCAGAGAGAAAATTACAAAAACCCCTGTTTTAGAGCCATATAGAATTCAGGCAACTAGATTTTCCACCTAAGGCGTTTGACAAATGAGTAATCTAATCGACATTAAATGAAGTAAGCAGTCAAGTATACGAAAGACGAAGACACGAAAGGAACGTTGATAAGAACCTCCCAGAGAGCAGCTCATGGTCTAATGTTGCATCATTTATATCGGGTATTTCCCTGTTCACCCGAGGAGTGTGCTGCGTATACAGAAAGCAAAATAATTTGTCACTAATAGACACTAACAGAAACAATGTACACATCCAAGCAAGCGTATATAATATGAAGATTAAGAAAAAAAAGAAGTTGATTGATCATACTGGTATAGAATCCAAATGAGATAATCTCTTGCCAAGCTTGCCTTCTCTTCTTAAACTCTCATCTTCTGCTAATATACGTGCAATGGTTTGATCATCCTCTGTATCAGCCACACTGCTACTAAAACTCGAGTTTGAG